GGCATAAATATCTGTTATGGCCGTCATTTCCCTCTAAATTGGATGATGTATGCTGAGAATGGAGCCGAGATCATTTTCAATCCTTCTGCAGAAACAGTTGAGAATAGAAGGTATGAGATGCTATTGATAGCTATATGGCGACAGCGACATTTCAATATCAAAAAACATGCAAAATTCCTTCTTACGAAATGTTGCACAACAATTCTAAGCGGAACACTTTTTATGTAAATCTTTCTTAAAGGGAACCCAAAACTCTTTCTTTTTGCAACGCAGGCGTTGAATTATGTTATCATCCCTCAACATGCTTTACAGTGAACCAATCTGGGGAATAGAAGGCCGCAATGCAGCTGTCACTAATCACTGCTACACAGTTTCGATTAACAGAGTTGGGAAGGAGTCATTTCCAAATGAATTTACTTCCGGAGATCGTCGACCAGGTGATTTGTCGTCAGCAATTGCTGAGAATGAAGCATTTTAGTTTCAAGACAAGCAGATTGCAAGCCGCGCTCTCAGCACCCACACACAACATTTGAACAATGAGAGTTTTGTTGAGAAAGGGTACAGGAACAAAGACTTTTCAACAACTTTTAACATACGCTTTGGCTATGGTGAATTCGAAATCTTGAATGAATGTCTCTCAAAAAACATTCACTCAAAACTTTGAGTTCACTCTAATCAAACCTGAGGTTTGTGAAACTCCAAGACAGTTTGAATTCAGTAAGCACATTTGAGAAATTTATGTAGAAAAATGCGTAATGTGTGTAGAGTTGGATGCATGTAAGAATGACTGTGAATTTCAATAGCAAACAGTTGGAATCGTAAATTTTGTTAAAAAAATTCATTGTTCAGGTCACAAAGAGAGCGGTCAATACTACGGCAGCGCTTATGTTGCTGCTCCAGATGGTAGTCGCACACCGGTGAGTTGGTACTTCCCTGATATTGTAACTTACGAACTTATGACTTTATATCGCATGTGACTGCAACACCGATCTCCAATCTAAGAAATCCGTTTTTAGGGACTATCGCGAATAAAAGATGGCATCCTCATTGCTGAAATTGATCTGAATCTATGCAGACAAACGAAGGACTCGCTTTGTTTCAAAGTACTTGTTCTTTATTTTTACTACTCTCGTCTGTATATGCTCTGCTTTTACAGATGACACAGCGCTTGGATATGTATGCTAAATGCCTTGCAGCAGTCGCTGATCCTTGTTATAAGCCGGACATCCATCGCGAAAAGTAAAATGTTGCTTATTAAATTCATGTTTAAAGATAGTATTGAACAAATGTACATACAACATTCGAAAAACTCAATAAACAGTTTTCTAAAAAACGAATTTGTTTTTTTTTGTGATAACCGTTCCAAATTAATTACGCTCATAGTACTCCACGATAATAATTTTTGAATGGTTTTGGGCAACATTTTTTTGGAGCCAGCGTTGTCTATGCTACGCAGCAGCATTATGTTCTACAAAACTCGTAGAAAACTGAACTCTGATGTGAAGATAGGCGACCGCATCCTGTAATAAAAAAAAGAGCCTATTTGTTGACGACAAATCCAAAAATAGCTTCAATAATACCTCTGTTTACCCTGTTTGCATCATCTACATGACAGCTAGAGGAATTGGTGGCATTGGAGATCAATTTGCAACTTGCTGTTTCCTTTGTTAGAGTGGTTGGATTTTAAATGGAGATGTTGTTGCTATAAAGTGCACAAGGAACCTCCCATCATCCGAAACATAAAGGCTATCCCAAAAGTGTGTTTATTGCTGATAGCAGATGGGTTGAAAGGAAAGTCCTGGCTTTTGACGCGGTTGGTTTACTCACAAATTTAATTATCAGTATCGATCAACAAAATTCTGGCCAGTTAGAATAGCAAAATTCAATGGTTCACATTGGTAACGGCAACTTCAATGTGACTTCATTCGTTAAGACGAAGCGATAGGTGCTGAAGCAAAAATCTCTCAGGCAAGATTACCCTTGACGAACCGATAGATGTAAAAACTTCTACTCGGATTGAACCCGAGCACATCGTGGAAAAAAAGCAGTTAAGATCAGTAGCGAATGGACGTGTTTTCAGAATACTAGTCGTGCCAATACCACCTCCTCAAACCGAGAAAGTTCTTATACGTCCCATGAATAGCGAAAATGCCCAATTTGATGCCGTATCTCTATATTGGATGTAGTTGCATCGACAATTAACCGGCATTAGAAGATCCTGCCACAAGTCGTAACTTCCAAATCTTGTCTAGCCTTTAACGATTCTTCTACCCTTAGCGACTACGGTAGGGCTACGTTGAAAATCTAAGTTATCCTTAGCGCTGTCGTTAAGGACCTGCCATGATCTGTATAGAAAAATGTTAGCATTTGTCTCAGGGCGTAAGTCCAGTCAGGCAGTTTGCAGCGCTATTTACAGTGCCATTACTGCGTGATGCTAGCATTCCGCCGCTCACATATTTATGCCCTGATCTTATATTTGTAACGTTTGTTTTGGAGTGCAAATCTATTTTCGCTTGTCTTTCTATCTGCTTAAGTCGGTCTCGTATATGAAGTCAAAAAATTTGAACACTAGACCGTGAACGCATTTTTCAAAGATATCTATATGAACGAATTTGCAGTTGACGCCCAACTACTTTTGAAAGCAATCTCATTTTTGCGAGATGAGTCTCATGACGAATGCTTTAAAATACTAAGATTTCAATCTTACACATTCTAAGTTCTTGATATTAAATGGGTTTGAAGTACTTCTAGATGGAGTTAAATAAGCGCAGCCGCCTCTGACGATTGTTATTTCGTCACAACTCTGCTGTGTATTATTTCTGGCTATAAAATCAATACAGATTAATTATTGTTGCTGTCGTGAGCTTTCCGTACCGTAAAAAGGAGAAACTGTTTCCTTTGTGACTCAGACTATTTCATGCGAGAAATCAATGAAGAGGTAACGTATAACCGGGTACGATTTATGCTAAAGTTTTGCACTTTGTAATGGCGAAGTATACGGCGTGATTCCATTAACCGTCAGTGCTGTGAGATCGTTCAGAAGTTTTACAGCTGCTAAGTTATCGAGAGTGTAGCCAGCTCCCTAAATGAGATCGAGTAAGATCCTATTAAAGCCTGCATTCGAACGATTTAATCAAAAAGTCACTTACCCTAGGCAACAGCACTTTTTGAGATACTAACATAAGACCAGCATTTTTGATAGGTTCCGTAGATAAGAAAGATAGCCGAATCTTTGGGTGGGATGGGCACTTGTAGATGTCGGCGATGTACTGTAAATATGGGACTAATGTAAATGAACGGCAACCTCACGACATAGAAACTCGCACCTTTTGAGATAGCAGCAAAACATCTTTGATAGTGTAAGACGACAACTCAGCTGCTAACAAAGCTTCAATCACAAGCGCAAAATGCTGGATGTACGGCTGGAACAACATCGCAGTAGACATTTCATCAGACTTGATGCCAGCGGCCCTATTTTTTCTGCAGCGTAAGACTAGTATCACTTTCGAAAATTTGTTAAATATTATATTATAAATATTAAATATTGCATTTCCCGAATGCAATCATTGTGTTGTTTGATGATGTTTGCTGAGTTTGATTAGCACACCCACTTTCTAGGTGCCATCATACTGCAAAGATACGATAGAATGTGCAAAAACGCAGCAAACCTTGATGTTCTCCGAAATTTCTCAAAAAATGTCTAGTAATGGTCTGGATACGTAAGTAAGGATAACATTCATTTCGTTGTGCGATGCATCGGAAGTGAGTTAGAAAGTGAAGAAAAAACACTTTCAATTTTGCAAACAAAAACTAAGCACTAATTTTATGTGGCCC